ACACACACAGACACACACACACACACACACTAGCACATGATGTGTTGAGTATGCATGGAGGTCCATAAAGATAATAGTTAATGAAAGTACTGAACGAAAATCTGTAGCCTAGATTCGATCTCTATTACTGCTAGGTATTTCAGCTTATGCCATTCATTATTCTCACACTTCACTTCAGAGGCCTTGACTATGTGAATACAGACACTGCGAGAGGGCTCTCGTGGCCTAGAGGTTAAGGCCTCTCATTCAAAGGTCCTGGGTTCGAATCCGGGTAGTGACCGAAACATTTTCTTCTCTAAATTTGTCTCCTTTCACCTCCTTTCCTGCTCTCTAGCAATGTTCTGCTTTCGTCTCCTCTTTCTGCCCCCATTCCCTCATCTCCTTTGCCCCCTTCCTCTGGGCTCCTGATTCTTTCTACAGCCTTTCTACTGCTACTCCTTGGCTTCTTCTTACTGCTGTCTTTCAGCCACATCCCTGATCTTCTGGTAGGAAAGATCTATAGCTATCCTTCTCAGACAAGGGTGAAAAATCTCGGAGGGCCCGTTTGCAAGTTGCGCACGTTAAAGATCCCTTGGTGGTCTAAAATCGATAAGAGTAAGCTTCGGCCACCACCCGGGCAAAATTCAAAATTTCTTACCAACTGAAAAAGTTAAATGTGTCCCGCGCACTCATATGACCTTATGCAGTTGCGAGCTCCCTAAAACACTTACCAAAAACAAACAAACAAACAAAAAAAAGACTGCGTGGAGGACACAAGAGACCAACCAAGGGAAGTGAGTTAAACTGCATGTAATAGAAATCAAAATCAAAGAGTTTTTATAAAAATAAAATATACTGGTGGTTTCCCTTGTAACACAAATTAGGCTTGCCTTCCTCATTTGTTTTCAAAATAAAATAACGTGTATGGGGGCCTACTGTCATAGAACACAGAAACAAACAACATAACGCAATAAGAAATGTATATCCCTGGCTTATTTTTCTGCGAACCACTACTCATTTTTAACATTGGGATAATTACTGTGTAAGCAATGTATTCTTTTCGCTCGTAAACAAAAGGGTTAAAACCTAAAGTAACATAATATTATGAATTGAAAGGAATTCTACAGTTGCTTGTTTTCCCCCACTTGTTCTGTCACCAGAGCTAAAAGGGGAAACAAATCTTTTGATTTTCTTTTTATCGGAGCATGTAATATACAAAGGCTGGTGTATCAGATTTCTCAAAACAGAATCCCAAGGATAAATTAAATACATCATGTAGTTATTCAGGCCCCCGTTTGTTGACCATAGGCCAAGGATTTATTCATAGACTGTGTGTGTGAAATGTGAACACAATGAAACACTCCCTATCAAGTCTGGCAATGGCGCAGTTTTGTCATTACAAAATTGTTTCTAGAATCACTCGAAAATTTAAAAAAAGCGACAGAAAAAACATGGTTACCATTAAATCAGCAGCTGTTATTCTCTCTCTCTCTCTCTCTCTCTCTCTCTCTCTC